CGGTCATGACCGTGTCCCTTTCAAGCAACAAGCGTGGCATAACAAACGAGCGCCCAACATCTGTTGACGTTTGATGGACAAGTTGAGTCAGGCCGTATTGTACCCAGCATGAAACCAGGTAATCAGTAGAGCCAACTCGTCTGGCCAAGAGGAATCGGCTTTGGGCGCTCGGAAGGTTGTGGGCCTGTTTCAAGACAGGGGGACCACGAAAACTGCGGGCTTCATTTTTCGTGGGTACTCTGAACAAACACACGCACACAAACACAAAAACAGAAACACAAACACACAAAAACTAGGCAAGCACAAACAACAGCACAAACACGCAAACACACAAACACGCACACGCGCACAAACAAAGACACACCCACAAACACAAACACAGAGACAGACGCAAAGACACAGACACACGCACACACACACAGACACACGCGCACACACGAAAACAGACAAACACACACACACAGAAACACACACACACACAAACAGGCAGACAGACACAGAAAGAGACAGAGACAGAAACAGACAGAGAGAAAGAGACAGACAGAACAGACCAGTACAGAAAAGACAGACCGCAAGCAAACAAACAGACACACCGACATTGGCACACTTTCACGTGTTATTAAACGGTACATGTAGTTGCCGTGCTGCATCCGACAGCATGAGCTGCAGCATGAAGAAACATTGGTGCTGGGGTCGCACCAACATGTCAAAGTTTCCGCGGGTTGCAATCACAATGCAGCAACTGCAAAAGGCTCGAGGAATGAGGCATTTTGCTGATCTTTGACCCCTTGCGCAAGTTCCAATGGTTGCTAGACAAGAAACAGAAGCTACAGGGTCAAAATAGAGACCAAGTTGGCTTTAACTTCATGCTCGGTCGCGTCTACAAGATGTCAGATACTGGACTAGCTTGCTTCCAATGTTCAAGATGTAAAGCCCCAGGGAACAAAGTAGCCATTCTCAATCCATCAAGGGGGACCAACCCAAACAAACGATTCGCGCCCTTCAATTTCCAGCCTTTTGGGATGTCCCAAAACTTGCATCACTGGAGCCTGGCAAAACTTCGGACCTTTGGGGAAATTATGTGACCCTAATCAGGGTGGTCAAAATGTTCCCTTCTGCGCTAAGCGGCGGCCCCAAGTCTCCGTGGGATTCCCATCTACTCCGTTGCAGAGGCACTCGAAAAATGGCAAGCTAAGCCTTTGACAGGCGTCGATCGCTGTGGTACAACCCGATGAAAGCTGAAGAGTTGGACCCGAGATGTCCTGTGACAAAAAACAAACAAACAATACGCTGGAGGATTGGATCCAAACTTACGTTGGCCAGACATTTTGTAGGAGCACCTCAAGTCCTGGATTCAAATGGCGGAATCATGAGTCGCCTTGTTCGCGGGACGCATGATTCTGATGCCGTCTTTGAACAGTGAGGAGCTTCAACCCAAGGACTTAGGACTTTTCAGGATTCGGACCCCCTGAACTTTCGTTGGGCCCTCAGCTTTTGGTTGGGCCGAAGTGCCCGCAGCTGGCCAGACAACCGCAGCATGCCGGCCAGGGCCACTGTGCCAGCGTCCCCCACGTCATTGCCTGAAGGCTGACCAAATTCGAAAGCACCAGGGGATGAAACCCGATTTGAACAGGAAGCCACCTGCGAAGTTAGTTTTGCTCACAGTATTCCTGGGATCAACATGTGGGATCCCTAGTGCATACTCTGTGGTCGGACGCCACTGAAAGCACCGCCTCAACTGTTCTTGGGCATCTGAGAGGTAACCAACCAAAAGATGACCCAAAAGTAAAGCCCTTCCTTGTAAGTAGTAGAAACAGAAAGAAACACATCGGTAATTGCCTAGTTGCCGGTTGGTTCACTTAAACGTTTTCAAGGATCAAGTCTAGTCTCTGTTCAAACACAATCTAATAGGCTGTCCTACTACAACTGCTCCCATTCTCCCACTCCAACCACGCTACTGCCACTACAAACAAGAATATTAACTAGTCGTCGCCAATAAATAACCCTAACTGCTCTTCTACAACTCATCATCAGCTTTTGGTTCTCAGCCCGCACGATTCCCTAAGGTACAACGCACCCCCAGGTTCATCGCGGAGCTTGGGATCTGATGAGCTACTCAGGTGCGTCCTTTTCAGGAGGTGCCCAGCTCAGCGACCCAGTATGTAGAACACACGTTCTCGTGTTTTGGGGTTGACCGCTCTTTCCCGGAGAAGCACAAGTAGCGAACAAGGGACTCAAAAGGGGTGTGCCTTGAAAACGAGGGCCCCCAACGTGTGGTTTCCTTTTGGTTTCCCTGCAAACCACCAACAAACTGGGGTACCCCTAAAGGAGCGCTCAAAGGCATCCAAAATGCGAAGCCTCCGGATGTTGGCAATTGCCTTCTGCTGAGCCGTCGACTGTCCAGCACCAGCTCTTCTACAGCGTGTCCGGCGCCTGGCCATTGTGGCTGAGCCCTAATTGAAAAAGACATGCTGTCACTCACGTCAGCAAAGCTACATCATCGATAAAAATAGGCTCCCAGCTTGCCTACTCAAGTATATAGAAGCTGTTTCGACTGGGACTGCATCCGAGCGGTTGGCGGCCTACTGGGTTCACGCATGAATTGTCCTTCGTTATCCTTGTTCCAGCCGACAGTAAAAGAATGCAGAGTTTGAATAGTATGAAATGCCACGACTCCGGCTTTGCGAAGACCAGAGAGAGCGAGCCGTACCCTGGTTGTCTGTGGCTGACCCTTTGCCCCCGAACAAAAGCGCCCTGGTGATTTTGGCTCGACTGGTCGGAACGACAGCCAATTCGCCAATTCGGCAGATGCTCACAGGCCGTCTTGCAATCCAATCCGCTCAAAATATGCCGGTGTGGGGAAACTTGTCTGGTTTGAGCCGTCCGAAACTCGGTCTTTCTCATCTAAACTTCCTTTGATGAAATTATCAAAGCATAGTCATAGATACGTATTCTATTCTTCAAGTACTACAATATCCGTTTCCACTGTTTCATTCAACTTGTTCGAACCGTTTTGCTCCGATCACCATTTGTTCCCTTGTGACATTTAAGGGATCATTCCCAGCTCCCAGAGATCAGACATTCACTTGACATCACTCGAAACAAACTTAATCAACGGGGACACTTCATTTTCGAACCCCTTAAAATGAAGCGAACACCGTAGGGGCCCAGTGCTACTGTTTTTCGAGGGAAGCAAAACAACAACATGACTTGAGCCTCGATGCTCAAGGTCAAGCAGTACCTCGCGAGTCACCCACGTGCAGTGAACATCGATCCAATCTTAGCCTAACTCCGGGGTGGACCAACAGCAACGTGATCCGATTCTTCACATGTCGATCTAACATTTTGGAGATGGGAAACGACGCTGCAAACCGGGCGCTGTCCAGTCTTTGGAGAACTTGTGGGAATCAGACCAATCCAAGCCAAAATAAGCCACGGAACCAGATCATGGGGACCCAACATGCGGCGCGAGCCAATTCAATCCATAACCCCCACTCGGCAATTACTATACACGGGATCAAATGCAACAAGCCTAAAAATGCCAAAATGCAAGGAAATATCAACAATACGCAACAATAAGCATTATCAACAAGGAGCAAATTGTCAAATTCTGATGAATGACCCGTCCAGCTGTAAACCAGGGGTTGCAGTCCCTTTTCTGGTGGGATTTGTCTGCTTGGGAAACCTCCTTGCTAGTTAACGATGCTCCTTGTTCATCAAGGTTTCGTCAGGGGACATAAAAGGCCAGCACCCATTCACCGGAAACAAGACATCGCCTCACCAAAACAAAACTCATGTTTAAAACTCATATGTGGCAAACGGTGATGCTCAAATCAGTCTCTGATCTAATGCATTGCCAAAAGGCGTGTCTGGAGTTGACTTCCAAATCTCTGGTTATTTGCACAAGAGACCAGCCATCCATGCCGTGAGAGTCACTCAAGGCTGGGTATGGGGAGTCTAGAAACTTTGACTCATAAATCTCTGGATAGCATCGCCCCAAAGGATTTGGACTTTAAAGAAAGGTCTTCGCGAAACTGCCGAAAACGGGATACGGCTCAAATACAACCTGCAAGGTGACGCAGACTGCGCTTGATCGGGGCAACCCCATCGTTGGTAGGGCCCAATCTGAAATCTCGATGGACACACAGAACCGCTTTCTCTTTGGCTGGGGCCAGAACAGACCCTTGTTTTTGCGTAGCTTCCCAAACATGAATTGTGGGTTTCTTTTCAAAATTAGGGACCCCCCAACATGAATTGTGGCTTTATCTTCGTTTCCCTTGAAGACCATGATGAGAGACAATCATAATTATTTGGTGGGCCCCTACCCTCGCCTTCTGCAAGAGCTCGAGTCCAGTGGCATGGAGTCCACAGTTGCTGAGGTCCAGCCGAGTGATGCGGCTCTCAGCCTGCGCCTGGCAATTGCGACCAGTAGAAAACCCTTGGCTTGGCGATGTTTACGGACCCATAGGTGTCCTTTTGGGGCAAACAAATGGCCCTGGTAGATGATTAAACCACCAGGTAAACCAGGAATCGCACATGAGTCTTTTTTTCCACCAAAACAACCCAAAAGGACCCCTTTGGACCCACCAAACAGCAACAAACATAGAGGGTGCCCACTTTCTTCGGGGATTCAGGGTGGGATGTTGGGCTTGAGCCGCGCCCAGGGTCCATTTTGGCCTCCGGTGAGCTCGTGTTCCTGCACATGTCCATCCCACCAAGAAACCTGGGTTTGTAGCTGGCCATCGTGCGATCGGCACGCCACACAATCTCAGTTTTGACAATTTATCGGTTGCAAAGAAACCGAGTCAGTACACTTTAAAAGTATGTATCGAACCTCTATCTATTGCTCAAGGGGCACTGTCCCGATGTAACACGATGTGCGTTAAAGATTGGAGACTGGCGGTGGTTCATTTCCTTCGGTTTACCCTTGCGATCCAAAAGGAAAAGCCCGGCTTTGAGAAAACTCCAAACGCCCATCTGCAATTCTGCGGCTCCTTTTCGCTCAGCCGGCTGACTCCACGTCTGCCTCCGCCATGACCTTTCGCCCCGGCACGCAGCGCTCACAAACGCCGCGCCAATCCTGGCTGGCCTGCAAGGAGGGCGATTTGCTGAATGCATTGGACTGCAGACAGTGCGCTTGGATGGGGCATGCGCGTGAGCTTGGGGCTTTTACTTGGGCTGTCATCAGCATCACCAGCACCAGATTGAAGGTGGCGGGGACGTTTCCAAAATTGGAGGGGAAATGGCAAACAACCACCTATAGGCATCCACAGGTGCGTGCCATGCGCGAGGTGCGGTGCGAGCGGTGGTGCGTGCGGCGAGTGCTGTGCGTGCGGCGGTTCGCGGGCGAGGCCGGAGGGTGCGTGGATTTTTTGTCGCGCCGTCAGTCCGACACCAATCCAAGGCCTGGTGGTCCAACACCATGTTCATCACGTGGTTCACCGTCAACACCCTGCTGTAGGAACCCATCTCGATGTATTCCGCCAAGGGCAGCTGTGCCGACGCGATGCCCTGGATGGGAAGACGAGAGAGTCGACAAGGATAAGAGAACGCCTTTTTCTTGGACACCACATATTTCATGTGTCACCATGATTGGCACACCTCCATTTTGGTTGAATGAGGCTTGCTTTGAGGTGTGACATGGGCGTGTCTTTCTTCAACCCTTGAGTCTTAAGTGTGTATTGAAGCGAAACCAAAGGCAAACTGCGCTTAGGTTCCCCCTTTTTGAGACGAACCCAAATCGGGCTTCAAAAATTGGTGGACCCCCCCCCAAATGGGCGGTGTTCTTTTGGTTTCCCAATTGAACACCAGAAGGGCGGCAAAAACTGTTTTGGCTGGGTCTGAAGGAAACCAATACGAATCACTACTTCTTTTTCGGGTCCCATCATTTGGAGACAAACCCGCATTTGCATCATACTTATATATCAGTTCAAGGGAACCCCGATCAACTTTGGCAGACTTAGAGATGTAAAAACGCTTGGACCCCTTTTGAGCGGATATTGAAAACCACGGCGTTTCAAAAGAACATGGACTTAGTGCGCCTTTTTGGACGGCGCATTTTTGGAAATCAAGTTGCGACTCCCAGTTCTGCCACTTTCCACACCTATGGATTTCCGGGCCCTCCTGTTCACCAGAGCATGCCCATCTGTTTCCCCTGCCACAATTTTCCTGATTGACAACCAGAACAGAACAAAGCCTTTCCCACACTCAAAGTACATCTGTTGAAAGTTCTCAAAAGCCCAAACTACCAGGGGTGGTAGCCCGTCTGCCCTCAATTCAGTTTGGCTCGACGTCTTTCTTCTGCTAACAGACCAAACCCAGCCTGATTTCTTTCCGGGTCTGGGGAGGTGGAGAGCCAGCAAACCAAACCCGCGCCTGGTCCAGGGCCTTCTGCATGGTGCGGCCTTTGAGGCGGTTCCGATCCACGATGCCACCGATGACGTAGACCTTGGAGGGGTCGAAACTCTGCACCGTCGCCTCAGCGTCTGCGGTGAGGTACACCAACGACTCCTGAGGCGCTTTCAATGCGCAGGGCGGCGGGCTGGCTGGCGGCTGGCGGGCTGGCGAGGGGTGCAAACAGGGTGCAGGTTTTTGGGGTGCTCTATTTTACGTATCCCTAGATAATCCATGTAAGGTAAGCAGGTCATAGCCCTGTTTTGTTAGCACTGGCCCAGTTACCCAGTTGTTTTGGTCATTTCTACAATCTACTAGATGGGTTGAACATCCAAGTAGGTTGACTTTATCTTGCTTCCCTTTTTGAAAGAAATCGGCTGGGCTGAAGTCTGCTTTGAAATACTGTCTGGTTAAATTGTGTGGCACCAGTGGCAGGTTTCCGAAATGGAGACAGCAAAAGCAGAAGGTGATACCAACAGTCCGAAACTTGTCTGGGAGAGTCGGGACCATGTAACCTGAAAGACCCATTCAGAGAGGGATGTGCACCCCCCCCCCACTTCTGGGGCAATCCGCCTCTGAGCAAATCAGTCTTGGAATAATCTGGGTGAATTTTGCAGTGAGACACGGTGTCCAACTGGCAATACGTCCTGCTTGACACAACAGTCGTTCACCAAGCAGAATTTAGACATGCATTTTCAAGCAAGGAACCGGATGGGGAAAATCGGGGACACACCATCCCTTTGGTCATGTCAGACTTCCAGAGTCGGAGGATGTCCTCACAGGCAGGGTTGCATGCAAAGAGGGACGCCAATGCGAAACATCAACGTGAGCAAATATGATTGCCACACGCAAACTGTGAGCTGCAAGTCTGGGAGCATCCAAACATGTCTGAGAAGGGTCCTAAAGAAAAGTCCCCTTCCCTTTCCGATTTGTCAGCTTGCTTTTAGGTGGTTTGGAGCCAAAATCCAGTGGCTTGCATCGCAAACTTCAAAGTTCGCAGTCTTCGTGGAGTTGTTCAAGGTCTCGGAAATTTCAAACCTCAAGCTTTCTTGTTTTTTTCGAGGTCTTCGAAGGTTGTATTTCTTGGCTTTCTTTCTTTTGAAGTATTGCTCCAAACTCCCGGAATCCCCAGGTCTCAAAACGGCTCCTTGGGGAACGCCTCGACGTAGGGCGCAGAAAGCTTCCTCACTCAAACTCAAAAGCCATTCATTGGCAGGGCACGTTGAGATATGCCTAAGCCGCCATTTCAAATTCTGGTGGTTCATGCTCAACACTGGTGGTATATCCGGTACGGTTCAGCAGGGTTCCGCGAAGGGTTCTGAGGTGGGGGTTCCGCGACAGTCGAAAAGAGTGCCGCATACTGTTCGGGATATCGCCCAAGTTTATGTTATTTTGTTTCTTTGGCTTTCTCGTTTGTTGTTTTTTGTTTGTTTGTTTCCATTGAATGCAAACAACTCGAGAAAACAAACACAACAAACTGGTCAGGAAAGCTGACACAGTCGTGCTTGTTTGTTTTTGTTGCTGTGTAGTTCTCGAGTTTGTTTGGTTTCTCTGACAACACCATAGCACACAATGTACAAACCAATGCACTCTCTGGGCGTCCTGTTTGATCAAATACTGGTGGTTCATGCTCATACTGGGTAAATCAAACACTGGCGGCTGTGCAATACTGGTGCTATATCAATCACTGGTGGCTCATGTTCAATACTGTTCAATATTCATGTTTAAGACTGGTGTGTTCCAGAGTCTTGGCAAGATCAAATGTCGTGGCACATCCGTGGCAGGTGATCCCAACAGGGCTGCTACGTGAAAGCTGAGCCGAAAACCTCCAAGAATTCAGAATAGAACCTACATCATGGTTTTTCGCTCGTTTGCCCCCCAAATCGGTGACGGCACAAAATCAGACTGATTGCAAATGGGCTTCTGAACTTCCCAGGACTCATAGCCAGACTGCTTGCTGAGCCCGGCGTGAGTCTGGCTGCCCTCCTGCACCCCAGAGAAGACCAAGCGCACCGGGTGAGTCGCCCGGCGGTTGGCGCCATAGCAGTACAGGATCTGCACAGGCACAAGTTGGAAAACCAAAAGCTCAACCAGGTTTTCGCTCCCGGAAACGAAACAGATGGCAGCATTTCGCCTAGCCTACACACACATGCATCCATCCCGGAAAATCACCTACCAGGTGCTTGTGCCCTGTGATCCAGGCATTTCCTGCTTCCCGGCCAACGTGGGACATCTTGTACGAGGGTTTGGGTAGGCCAAACGTGGCGCCAAGTTGCCCCAAAGGCGCTGGTGGGTTGGGTTGGTGTTCCCGAAGAACCAAAAGTTCGACTCCCCAACCACCGAGTGGTACCCCATGGGGTCATGGAAACTAAGCTGCTGCGTCTCCTTTGCTTCTATGTTTTCTTGAGATCCCACAGGGCCCTTGCCAAATAATGGGGTCATGTTTTTTTGGCGGCCTGCCTGCTGAATCAAACTCTTCAGCTCCTTTGGCTGCATCGAATCCTCCCACTCCAAGTCCAATACCACAGTGGTGCCATTCCTCGGCACACCGAGAATTCCGACTGGTAGGAATTGCCCACTTGACTAATTCTCGAGGAGACGTTCCGTATCAGAATGGGAACCAGCCGCTCACTCCATAAACTTTGAGAGGTCCAGGGGCATTTGCTTTGCCGGAATTGGAGGGACAAGTCGGCTTCGAGGCCCTTGGAGACCATTCAAACATGTTGCCCAAGCTGGAAAACCGAGCTCCATGTCGGATATTTAGCCTTCGAGCCTACACATGCCCCGCCCCTCCGAGAAAAAAAAAACAAAAAAAACACGTACCAGGTGCTTCTGCCCTCCAGGGAATTGCCGCTTGCTCTAAGAACGGACTGAGGACATGTACATTGATGGAAAAAGACACGGAACACATGGACACCTCAATACCAGAAAACCAATGCACACCAAACAGGCAAAAGTCCAAAAGGTGAGTTGGGTCTGGTGGATTTAGTCGGACAGCTGGCAGCACCGCTGTCTCGGCTCAAGGTCGTCGCGAGGTTTGGGGTGCCAAAAAGGCACCGATCGTTCGGGGGAAGCCTCTTTTTCGGATTCAAAAGGACACCCAAAAACATCCCTGCCATTGTAGGGAACCAATTCCTGATCTGGAGATCCATGCGAGGGAGCAAGTTGGAATCCTTGCAACTCACCTGTTTGGTTGTTGATGTGGTTGGCCAATATGTGCCACCGTCGAACACTTGCTATACCCTCTATGGGGATGGACAAGTTATAGAGTCTCCATGTGCTCAGCAGATTTAACCACAAACAACAGGAAGCATTGACCAAACCTCGCGTATGAATGGGTGTATCTAAATAGATGGGGCAATTTCCTTGGCTCTCTCTTTGAACACAAAACACACTTTCCCCAATATTGAGACCCGAAAAGGACCCGGGAAAATGAGGTTGTCCTGTTTGCTCTGGTGAGCAATTTGGGTTGTCCCCCCACATCAAACGGGCCTTCAACTACCCTTGAACAACATCCTGCATCAGTTGGGCTGGATGAAACTCGATTTGAAACCTGGTTGACATATCCAACAACTGACACAGGATATTTCGGCTCCGGGTTTTAACAGGGAGCCACCTGAAAAGTGGTTGGTGGACAGAAATCCCCGCCGAAACGATGCTCTCCAAAAAGTTCCTCCATCAAAATTCACACCACTTTTGCTGCCGTCAAATAGCTCATCCTTTGTTGCTTTTGAATTGACAATCCGTGTGTCAAAATAGGATATGGACCCCGCAAAATGGATCTCGGGCTCCCCAAAATGCATTCTTTTCAACCAGCCAAGAGAGTGGTACCTCCTGGTTGCCGTTCTTCAAGGCAATCATTTCCGATGAGACTTACATGTCAACTTGGCTCTATCTGGAACGCACCAACATCGCCTATCAAAGCCGACTTGAAACGTCGGTCAACTTTGCTTCAACAATACGCATCCACTTTGGTGTCAATCACTTAATTTGAATGCTCTGCTTCAACAATACTGAGCCTGTCCAGTTCGTAGGCAGCTCCTTTCAGTTGGAGCACTGCAATGGATTGGTTCATGGGTTCATGCTTCATTGAACATTTAACAAGAATGATATGCTAATAGAATGTCTAGCTTCAACTCTAAGTTCAGTATGACATTCTATCTGATGGTGATCGAAATAGATTTTCAGTTTCAACATTATATGTTAAAAGAGGGTGATGTCCTTTCCGATGGAAAATACGTCCAATGAATTTGGATCTAAATAGAATCTAAATAGGACATACTTCTAGAACATGCTCTAGTTCTAGTTGAACATTGGATCGCATTTATGTTTAATAGGCGTTCAATTAGATTATCATTAGAATTCTTGTTCAACTTAGACTTCCCATAAGCTTTCCTTCCAAGGAGAAGTTGTTTATGTTGTTTCAATGAGAATGTACACATATCAATTCTAGTTGAATTTCGGATTTCAAGTAGATTCTAAACAGGATCTCCTCTTTTCAGAGGATCTAAAACAAACTTCAGCTTCTTGTTGTGTTTTGTACCATAGATTTTAACGTTGGCCTTCCTTTCCCAGGATATTGGTTCAATGCTTGATTGAAACAAACATGGAATTTGGTAAAAAACCGCATTCTAGTAGAAATGCTGGCAATTCTTATTCCGTTTAAAGAGGATTTCAATTCGGTTTTAATTAGACATCTCATTTCAACTTAGATTTCAACAATATGTTCTTTCCCATGATGATGCTTCAATCTTTCAATCATAATTGACATAGGAAACAATCATAGCATAATTCTAGTACAACTTCTAGCTTCAAATATAGTCGTCAATAGGATTTCCTTTCTCATGATGATTTTTCAATCTGTTAATCAACATTGATATAGGAACAATAAGAGCATAATTCTAGTAAAATTTCTGTCTCAACTAGTCTCAATTGTAATTCCAGTATGATTTCTTTTTTGAAGAGGATGTCGATTAGATTTTAATTGGAATTCTTGTCTTAAGCTAAACTTTGAAGGGGATTTCCTTTCCCAGGAGGATGTGTTCAATCTTTAAAGTAGGAATTAAGCAGAATATAATAAGGACATCATGCTAGCCTAATCTCTAGCTGTAATTAACTTTTTAATAGGCTGCTCTTTAAAGAGGATTTCAATTTCATTCTAAGTAGAGCTCTTCTTTCGAAATGGATGTTCAATGTGTCTTCCTCTCCTAGGATATTTGTCATGCAAAGCCCAGGCCACCATAAGAAGACTGAGTCTATCGATAGCCACTGAGAGTTCTGCCATAAAACGGGTAGCGATCCTCCCGAGAAAAAAGAAAAAAGAAAAAACAATAGTATATTAATACATATATATATATATATACTCATAACAAGCCAAAGCTCTGCGCCCTTTGTCTGAAGTCCGAGAGCTCTGCCTCCTTCCGCGCCAGGCGTGCCTGCTTCACATCCTCACCGGGAAGGCGCTCCAGCGGTGGACCTCACTGGGAGCTGATTGGATGCCCCTGGCTACCCGCTGTTTCTCACTTGCCCAAAGCTGGGAAAAAGAAGGGGGCACCTTTTTCGGACCTTGACTCAACATAGACCAAGCTGGGAAAACCAAAAAGGTCAAAAGGTCGGCTTCCAGCAACTGAGCTTTGGGGAAAGAAAGGGGAATAAACCCAGATGGCAAAGCTGAGCCTACTTTCACCCAACTATACTTGCCCAGGAGATGCTCTGTACTTCGCTCTTGGTGTGTTGTCCCTTGCTGAAAGTTAGCCTTTCCGAGGGTTGTCGCAAATTCCGAAGGCTAGCGATTCAAACACCTAAGGGTATGGCTAAAAACTGCCAGGTCGGCTTCGACCGGTGCCCCAGGTAGAAACAAGACCTTTCCAGGTTCATTGTTGTGAAACCCATCCAACAAAAGCTAGGACAACCACAGCGCCTGAAGCTGGTTCAATTTATACCAGGGATGATGACCAGTCTCCCTGTTGCTCGCCTCACAACTTTGGGCAAGTTAAACTAAGGAGTTTCTACAAGGGATACCTCGTTACAGCCTTCTTTCGGGCAAGTTTGGGCTTCAAACCTTTGAAAGGTAGCCCGAATCACCTTGGGCAGTCAAATACTTCCAGTCAAACAGTGGGAATCCTTGGGTGGGGTCAACCCAACCCCTTGTTCAAAAAACAGTCAATACACCACTTGCGGTTGCCAGCGTTGGAGGGTGGAGAATTCCGCGTACGATTGAAAACACACACACACACACACACACGCATGAAACAAATTGGACATTTCCATTCCTCGCACAGTTAACACAAATTGGGCCGCTGCATGTTGCGCAACCAATTTTCACGCCAGGCAATTGAGTTTCGGACTGGAACCCACAGAGAAACCACACAGAGAAAGATTAGAAAGATTGGCCAATTTGTGGGTCTGCTTGAGGAAGAAATACCCCTTGGGATTAAGCCTCAAGATTTAGAGACTCCTGTTTTTTTTTCCTGATTTTCGGTTGGTTCTCCCAACCCAAAAGGTGTAGCGCTCGTCTCCCGCCTTTGGGCCTCTTCGAGGTCTTCGAGGTCTTCCGCCGCTTCGCCTTCTGCTGCGCCTTCCACTCTGCCCGCTGCTCTGCCTTGGACTTCCGCTTCAGCTCCTTCGTAGACTCGGGGGTTGAGACCCGAGGCGGTCCTTGTGGTTTCCCCTGTTTGGGTTTTAAGGATCATGGAACCTAGGGGGCTTTTTGGATGGTCTTAAAAGGAACCCAAAACCAAAATGGAACCTAGAGGGCAGGCCCTTTTTGGAAGGTCTTAAAAGGAACCCAAAAACCAAACACACACACCTGAGGCCCCCCCCCTATCCTGCCTACATGTTGCCACTTTCGTGTAGACAACTGTTAGTTTCCCTTGGTGTCAGCGTCTGGTTGGTCCCAACCCCCGGGGGGGGGGTCAAAAGATCATTCAATCCGTTGAAGGGGCTAGAGTAATTATCCCAAAGGTTACAGATAGTCAATACCGCCAGCTAGAGTGTGCCTCAGTTGCCCTGGGGGCCAGAAACAAAAGCTTAACTTTTGGGCCCATGCTGACAATTGCTGACAATGGACTAACTAACATGGGAAACCCAACGGTTGCAAAGTCATGCTTGAGCAAGGTTTGCTTGGCTCGAACGATATATCAAGATCTGTTGGTTGCACAACAGCATCAAAAGATGTTTCCTTTGTACAATCCGATCTCTACACCAGGAGCCTCAAAACACTTGACCATGTTATACAAAAAAAAAACACGGTGATGTTTGGGAAACACGATGTTTTCAAGTTCTATCATTTCATGAATGCACCCGTTTGCAGTTCACAGAGTGTCCGTCAATTTTCCAGTGTTTGAATGTAGACGCCAACAATCTCTCAAAGAGTCCCCTAATCGGCGAAGCAACCTCATGGCGGGTAAGATGGCGCACCCTGGAAAACCTATAGACATTCCACGGTTTACCACGGGTTTACCCCAGTTTGGCTACGGGTTGCTAAACACAATGTTGTGCTTAAAAGAAAACAATGATTTTGATTGGGGCTACGGGTAAAATATATACGGGTTTTTCACAGGTTTGCTGCTTGTTTCTTGTCAACAAAGTTGCAAAGTCCATCAAACGGACTGATCGGAGGCCTATACCATGTGACAACACCAGGCTCTAGGAATTGAGGGGCGCCCCCGCTGGAAGTCAATAGAATTTCAGATTGGTCCAACGCCCCCACTCCGGAGGGGGGGGCGTCACCAGGCCTATTCCGGCGCAAGCAAACTGAATACAGACTGCAGCACTCAGGCTGCCAAGGGGACGCACAGACGGTAAGTTAGAGGGGTTCTCCAGAAAGCAATGTTGTTGTCTTTTCCCCACATCAGGAAACACGATGATTTTCAGCATACACTGGCAAACACAATGATTTGGCAAAGGCACGACACATTTCCGGGGTTTTGAAGCCCCAGGTTTTGCTTTTCACAAGTTGTTCTTCAAGCAAAGCAACCTTTCCAATAAATTCTGGATTTTCACCTAGAGCCTCCAATACTTTAAAGCGGGGTCACGACCCTTCAATTCCTTGTACTGACAAACCAGCGTCGAAGTGTTGCGGAGACTCGGGCACACTTGGCCTATCATTTGCCCTCGTTTTACCAAACAATTGTTCAGCCTGTTGCTTTTGCTATTTCAGTCCCTTTTCCAGAGTGGGACAGGGGCATTCTGGGGAAAAGGGCAACCGGCTACTGTTGACCCGGGATTAATCAACCCGTCCCAGTATTAGGGGGTGTTCCCTCCAAAAGTGGTCTGAATCCCCACTAAAAGGGGGATTCACCCCCCCAATCAAAATCAACCAGGGGTTCTACTTTGATCCGGGGTCATTATTCGATTTACACTCCCTCAGACTAACATGGAGGCTCCCAGAAGGCCGATCCTGTGAATGGAACCAAGTCTTCCAAAGGGGTGGGAGCTTCCATGTTAGTCTGGGGGAGAGTTTTTTTTTCGGGATGGACGCATTGAACCTCTCTCTCTCTCTGTCTCCTTGCGGGAGCCCTGGGCTTCGGCCCCATTGTCCTCACGGTCGCCCTCAGCCGAATCACCTGGCTCAGCGTCGGGCCCGTCGGCCGCGTCTTCCGCCTG